ACTTCCATCTCTTATTCCTCTCCTCGTTCTCCCCGCGCTCTTCTTTTCGCCCTTTCTCCCTTCTCCGCGCCACACCGCACGTGTATCCGCTCCTTCCCCACAGTCTAGACACTAAAGTACAGCATATATTTACTTTTCCCTCGACCGGCCCTTTTCGCTATTTCTATTTTGCAATCACTGCCTTTCCTTTCCGGCAATTCCTCTCTCCCCGAGAGCAAGTATTTTTCTACATTCAAACCCTAAGGATACACAATTTGTGAAGAATATTTCTAAAATATTTCTTACGTTAAAGCTGTCGTGGAGAAACTGCGGTTGTTCCACGTAGCCGATCATGTAAGCGTTTCGCTTTTCCTTATGCCTTTTATAAAAGGCGCATTAAAATTCTGTAACGTAATAAGGCGGAAATTAATAATCAATGATAAGCGAGGTCACTTGGCCTATCTAACCTTTTTCCTAATAATGCTCGTGAAAAATCGCAAAATCCGAGTGGGAAAACATGTCGGTGATGGCCGCGCTACGAATACGAGTCACACAACAATTAAAAGTCTTCGCTCTATAAGAACGTCGCCAGAAAATTGCTTTCCTATCTAGTTACGCGAGCGCGCCAGTCCCTGTGTACTTTCTCTATCTCTCACCCCCCCCCCTCTCTCTCTCTCTCCCCCCCCCCCCTCTATATATATATATATATATATATATATATATATATATATATCTCCATCTCTCTCTCTTTGTCTAATGACAATACGCGCTATACTGTACGAAGTCGTACATGTATGATGTGCATAAAGATTGAATAAAAATGTAAGTGTGCATGCCCGGGCAATCGGTACGATTTTCACTCTCATTTTTTTTTTTTCGGCCAAACTGCGTTCACCTCGACGCTCCTCACGGGGAATACGACGAGTCTTCCGTTTCGCTCGGCGGCCACTCTTTGGGCCTCTGTGCGCGAAACGCGACACACACACACACACACACACACAGGAACACGACAATGCACTGCCGCCCCATACGTATGTGTGCGGGCACAGCAGCTGCGGCCCTGGCGTCTACGAAGGCCCTCGCTCACATTGCCTTCTTCTCTGTGGGAAATACACGTGCTCGCTATTCACACACGCGCGTCCGTTCAGTTTGCGCGAGCGCGCGCCCACACAATGCGCGAGGAGCCGCCGAAAAGGCCCCGAGGCCTCGGTTCCGAAGACGATGTCGGCCCGTCTGTGATCGCCTCGCCTCCGGACGCGAGAGCCCCATGCACCAAACCGAGGGCTAACAGGCGCGCCGGCATTCCCAAGTTTTGGCTGCTTTTCCTTCAGCCTTGTTTAAGTAGAGGCTGCTTTTTTCCCACCTACCTACCTCCTACTCCTCAGCCACTCTCCCATCCTCCTGCCCCCTCCCCTCTTGACCCTACCACCGTCGCTCGCCCACTCCCTCACCGTACCTCTCTTTCTCCTCGCCTTTCTATCTCGCATAACCATTGACAATGTTTGCCGAAGTGTGCCCAGGTAGACAATCTTACGTGGGGTTTTTAAAGATATTTACCTCGGTGAGTCTCGGCTTCTATTTTCCAAAGGATGTTACCGAGTCTTTTCTCGCTGGAAAGGACTGTCACTACAGTTATAGCCGTATCTCTTCGGTACGCTTCGGTGACAGAGACTTGATTGCATTATTAATGCGCGAAACAAATACTTGGAAGTTCTAAGAATCCCAAGATTATAAATCGATGTTTTTTGTTGCCGAAATGACAATTCGAATTGAATAAACTGAAGTTATACATGTGAGAATGACAATTGGAATGTCATAAGGCTGGGCTGGCTGTTCGCTCTTCCAATAACATCTGGTAG